TGGAGAAGCAGCTGCAGGAGCTGGAAGAGAAGCAGAGCGCCGACATCTCCGCCCTGCAGGTGAGGGGGTCGGGGTTTGCAGGGGGAGGTTGTTGGGGGGCATTGCTTCTGGGTCACGCTGTAGCGATATTGCTTATCTAAACTGTAAGGGGTCATAAAATTATGGTGCAAAATGCCACAGAGCTATAATGCATGATACACCATTTACCTATACACCCGTAAAGCCTTAACTGTAGCATTATAAAAAAGATACCCTTAAAACTAGAAAAAGCATGCAGAGACTACAACCAAAATGAAGTGATACACAGATTTCATGCATGCTTTAGTCCTTGGATAGGAGAAAATTGGGCTCTTACCACTAAATGGGGGTGGAATAATAAGGTGTAGATACAGAGGTGTGAAAACCCTGCCAGGGAAGGTGGGATTTGGTAAATGGTGCCTTTTTGGCTGAGGGTGGAGTTGGAGCTGTTCGTTTTCTTTGTCTGCTAGAGCAACGTTAAGTTAATAGGATTGGAGAAATTCCTTGCAAGGTATTATTGCTAGACATGGGAGAATTAAGAATTTTACGCTGTCAATATTGTTACTTCCAACAGGATACAATCAACAAATTGGAGAATGAGCTGAGAACCACGAAGAGTGAAATGGCTCGGTACTTGAAGGAATATCAAGATCTGCTCAATGTGAAAATGGCCCTGGACATCGAAATTGCAGCGTATAGGTATGACGGGGGGAATGTTTTAGTAAGTCAGAACTTGGATCAGGTTCCCGTTCTCTCTTAAAGAGAATTATTTTATTTATCATTCCTCCAGCAAGAATTTTCATAGATAGATGTCAAAATTTAATCAGATCTCCTCCGTTGTCTTGCTAGTGGAAGAAGCAGTGCTTTTGAGGTAAAATATTCAATCTTCAGTGTAGCAAACTTCAGTGAGTATAATAATATGTATATATATGCATATGCATACAGAACTCTTAGCTTGGCAATATATAATCTCAGTTCTCCATCTTTACAGATAAAAATACCTGTTCTGTACTTACAGTGAAGAGATCTTGTATTGGTGGAACTTCTTAATACAGACGGCTGTGTTCTCAAAATTGGAAACCCATTACATGCTTTTAAGAACGGGCTTTGTTTCTAACTCTCAGAAGCAATCGCCTGCAAAGCAAATATTTTACAGCAGAATTGCTGCTGAATAGGTGTTTAATGTTTTGTCCTAGATACTGTTAGAAATGGCAGATGCTGAAACAGTTTCTATGAATGCCACAAGGGGGAATATTGAGAAAGTGGCTATAAACCTTGTCTAATAGCTAAACATAACATCAAATTGATACATCTGCATTGTTCTCTGCAACCCTACAGGCTACCAAAATACACCTCTAACTTCACCTGCTATAGGGACCTAATCCTAGAGGTTTTTTCCCCATTATTTCTTCTAACAAGGAAAAGTATTAATTCACCAGTAATGCACACTTCTGAAACTTAAATTATTCCAAGAAGATTGCCTCATAGTTCTTCATTGTGGACTAGTTTTTGCACTCCTAAGTATGCAGTCTCTAGAGCTTGTGCTGCTCAAAGCATAATAGTATCTTGGTGCATAGCTGAATCTGCTGCAGCATAACTAAGTCTAATTTCTGTTTGCTTTTTTTTCTGCTAGGAAACTGCTGGAAGGTGAAGAGACCAGACTCAGTTTCACTAGCGTTGGAAGCATCACCAGTGGCTACACCCAGGCTGCCCCGACTTTTGGCAGGTCTGCCTACAGTGGTCTCCAATCCAGCTCCTACTTGATGACAACCCGTTCCTTCCCCACATACTACTCCAGTCATGTCCAGGAAGAACAGATTGAAATAGAGGAAACAGTTGAGGCTGCTAAAGTGGGAGAAGCCAAGGCAGCCCCTGCAGAAGAAGGTGAGGAGGAAGAGAAAGAGGAAGGTGAGGAAGAAGCGGGAGGTGAAGAGGCTGAAGAAGAGGAGGAAGGTACTTATAGTTACTTTCAAATCCCTCTCTTTCATGCTTCACCCTGCTCATATGGGGTAAAACCCAGAAATCCTGATGACTAAGTCTAATGATTAGACCTCTCTCATTGTCTGCTCACATGAGCAAAGGATCGTGCGATTAAGCACACAGCATTTAAGCAGGAAAGCCTGAATATTGAATGGAAGATAAGGTAAATGTTTAATATCAGGCAGATTATAGGACTGATTATACTCCCTTGGAAATCACTGGGTGTTTTTCCATTCAAGTTTCCTGAAACAAGAATGATAATACTTTAACAGTGTGTAATGTTTATATTCTTATGGCAGCAAACAGTACTTAGCAATTCCAGACATCCTCAAAAAGGAGGAACAAGGACATCCTGAGCTAAATACTAATTGCCAGAGAGCAGCCCATGATAATAGGAACATCAGCTGATGTCTGTGGATGTAACTGTTGGGTTCAGTGGATAGCAATATATATTGCCTGAGGTCTAGGTAGTTTTCTTGTTCAACCAAAGTATACACCACTTCCTTGCTGCCCCATAATTTATTTACAAACTCACATTTTAAAGAAAATGTAAAAGGAACGTTATCCAAAGTTGCTTTTCCCAACTTCAGTTGCATAGCTCTGAAGGATTTAACCTAAACATATCTGAAATGCATTGGTTACCATTGAACTATTCTAGGAGTTTATTAGTGTAAAGATTATTATAATGAAATGATAGCTAAAGAGCCAATCGGAGAGCAATGGCAAGATTCCTTTTTGAACTCAAGCCTTTGGATAAGGCTTAAAGCAATGAGTCCACAGCCAATATTTTTCAAGACCTATAAAGTGTTTCACTCCCTCTGAAATCTGGGATAAGTTGGTTGTGTAGTTTCGCTGGTCTCCCTTGCAAGTCCTAGATAAAAGTCCCCGCTTTCATGCAAAATCAGTTGCCAGCCCCATCGTGTTTAGCTGGCTGCCATCCAAATGTGTGGGGTTGAAGGATGCAGGTATGCTGGCTCCCATTAAATTGGGATTAGGAACAGTACATGTGAAATACTTCTGTTTGTCTTTCAAAGGTGCTAAGGAAGAATCTGAAGAAGCCAAAGAGGGTGAGGAAGAGGAAGGAGAAGGGGAAGAAACAGCAGCTGAAGAAGGTGAGGAGTCTCAGGAAACTGCTGAGGAAACTGGTGAGGAGGAGAAGGAAGAGAAAGAAGCAGCAGGAAAGGAAGAGAGTGAAGTGAAAAAGAAGGCTTGATTTTTAGGCAGTCTAGCTTTCTCTTCAGGTCAACAGAATAAATGATGATTGACTGAGCTAAAATTGCAGTCTCACATATTTAATTCAGTGACCACTGAGGTTTAAAGTTAATGATCTATGATGTTTCTCTCTGTGCAGAGTATCAGTATGCTTGCAGAGCACCCACTGGCTTGCTCCCTGAATGCCGCATGGTCTACACATATGAATTCAGGGGTTATGTCTTTCTTGGGTGATTCAGAACCTTAAAATTAAAACGGGGAAAAAATAAGTAATGGGAATGAAAGTTATCTTTAACTTGCATTTAAAATAATTACGGAAACCTTGGGTGGGTAAAATAATGGAGGCTTCAATAAGTATGTGCAATAAAGCTAGTCAATAAAGTTACAGAAATGCTTACACAGATTCCTTGTATGTGTCATGTGTCACTAAATGCACTTAAAAAGTTGATAAAGTGGTGTATCGCAGTCAATCTTTCAAGCAATCTTGCAAGTGTAACAGGATACGGGATAGTGGTTTCTGTCTCTAGCTGATATGCTTGGGGAACTAATAGGTGGACAAAGGATTTCTTGATGGGGCTGTAAAATTCCACACAGAAATATTACAATGGTAAAAATACACTGGAGTCTGAATGTGCCGTTAGCTTTGTGATGGGTCTCACTGGGTTGTGGTATGCACACAAGAACAAGCTCCCTTTTGCCTTGTGAAAAAAGAAATTTTAACACACCAGTACAGAAGCAAAAGGCAAACATGCCTGTTAAACGTTGGTAAGAAGTTGTTCAATATCTGACGGTTCAGTGATGAAAGGGAAGAATGACTGCTGATGTAGGTGAGACTTGGAGCAATGTCTGTATATTTAAAAAAAAAAAAAAAATTAGAGGTCTTGTATCCAGCTTTGTGTAGGAGATCAAAGATAATGATTGTTATGCTCTCTTCTGGCTTCTTTATGAAAAGAAGAGATTTAAAAAGATGTAAGATGCATTTAATCTAAGATTTGCCTCTGCTCTTAGAGGAATAACAAAAAAAAAAAAAAAAAAAAAAGGTGGGGTGAGGTGTTAGAGGGAAGGACAATGTGGGGGGAGTGCTCTCTGCTACTTGAATGAGCTGCCTTTCCAGGCTGCTATCTTAAGCCAATCCACTGTGGACTGAAGAGGCTCATTTTCTACTGAGAATTTGTCAGGGCCTTTTAAAGTTTTGAGTACGAGCCAAAGAAAGGTCTAATCTGTGATCAGGCACAAAATAGGAACAGCTCAAACAGCAGTAAAGACTGACAATTCTGAAAGCAATGTCCTGTAGTCTGAGCCTATTTATTTTCAATTGGCTAAAGTTGATGCATAAAATTAAACCTTGTGCTAGGGGCGAGTGCTAGACTAATGCTGCAAATTAAACCATTTTAAATAAACTAAACCTATGGAAACCCACATTAAAACAGGCATTACATGGCTGCACTAAAACTTCTCACAGTCACTCTCAGCTAGATGGATTTTTTGTGTGGGACTTGGGGTTTACTTTTAATTCTGTACGCTGACTTCGTGGTATCAGTTGATTTGCGTTGTTTCTCCTCGATGGCTACATTCGGAGAGAAAGGAGGTGTCTTTTTATACAAACTTTAGCGGCGTTCCAAAAGCATCTCCCTTTTCACAGTTGAAAGAGTTATAAAGATGATGATGATGGATGAGGTAAGCACTTAAAATAATTCTTTCCTTCCATGTTCCCAGGAAAAACAGCAGGAGAAAGAAAAGGAGCTATGGTAAAACCGTTCAGGAAACAGAGTTTGCACTCGTATGCCATAATTCCAGTAATTCCTGTTCAGGGAGTGCCAGTATCATTTCCAAATGCTTCCCCCCCACCTTCTTGTATTTTTTGATGCTTTTGAGAACCAAAAGGCAAACACGTAAATTAATTTTCCCTTTCTTCAACAATATCTCTTCTTACAAGTCTTTCTTTTCACATTTCCCTTCTGCTTTTAATGGAGATTTTTCTACATGCGTTTATGCAGACTTATTTTTACAAAGCAGATTTTGTTTTCTGTCTCCAGGAAAGCGGTGGTGAGCGGTGGGGGGTGCTTGCAGTGCCACGGGCCAGAGACTCGACCACGCTGTTTACTCAGCGCTTTTAAAGCTGTTGGTGGGATTGCAGGAGACCTGCTCCTTTTGGTATGTGATGCCCTAGTTCAAACCCAGCAGAATATTGAGTCTGAGAGATAGTACTTGGAAATTCATCTCAGTGCTCTATCAGAAAATCAAACCCAGCAGAATATTGAGTCTGAGAGACGGTGCTTGGAAATTCATCTCAGTGCCCTATCAGAAAACGCTTAGCATGGCACTTCAGTTGGGAGAGAGTTTCTGCTCCTACGCAGCAAAAAACATGTTATGCACCGGATTAGAAACCATCACAGCCATTAAAGCCAAACCACTGTTAAATAGATTGGCATATATTAAAACCACTGCCCCCATCCTGCCTTTCTCCAAGCACTCTGAGCTCCTTATAACTTTGCAATATCTGATTTTTGCTTCCTCTTTCCTGTCTTTTTTTTTTTTTTTCAAATAAACTTTGTTCAGTCCTTTGTATCCCTTTCACTTCTGGGAAGCAATACAGCTTGCAGCTCTCGAAAGTGTTGCAACCAGACTGCTAGGGATGCTCTCAAACCAGCACATTTAGAGAGATACCAGCAAACACATCTCTCCTTGCAGTGCATCTCAGTCCGATCCCCGCTCCTCATGTTATTTTCAATGCATTGCAGCTAGAGGAGAGATTTCACGACTCTGCAGGAAATGCGTGAGTCAGAGCCATGGCAATGAGCTGCAGAGAGTGACAAGCTGCAGTGACCGTCCAGCCTGGTGTGTCACCCCCAGTCCTGTCTTGCCGCCAAGGTAAACTGGTGGGAGGGAGGATGGCAGTGTCCGTTTGCCTGCCGAGATGCTCTCACGGTTGTGAGGATCCTACTTGGCAACACTTGTTTTACCTTTGAAAATCCAGGAGCTCGCTTTGACGCAATGCAGTAAAAGCAGGCAGAGGGAGACACGATAGAAACTTTAACCCAAGTTGCAGCTGCAAGTAAAGCCCCGAGTCTGCCCCTGAGTGTTCTCTTGCTGTTTGGGCAGACGGGTCTGGATCAGGCCGAGGTCTCATCACGGGGAAGACAAATACAAGGAGGTCCTGAACGCTTTTCTTGGGATACACATACACGCAGTCCCCTTCCACTCGGCAAGGGGAAAAGTTGTACAGATATAATATCCAGATTCTAGGAATTTACCTTCCAGTAACTAAATAATTGACAATTCATCATTTGCTGCCTTCCTAGGTCAGTTAAGGGTAGTTTAATCCTGAACAGAGAAGGAAGAAAGCCCACATGTGAACGGGAAAAGCACAGACCCTGATGCCTGGAGAAAATTCTAGTGCCTGACTCAGCTCCCTGGCAAATGCAACCTATTTGTGTTTTGTAACTCTTCCCGGTTTGTTTCCACCTGGAAGTTAGCTCTGGGATGCTGAAAATCTCTTATCATAGCTCTTCCACAAGCCGGTACGGTGAACAGATCCTGTTTTAGAGCCCTCCAGCTCCTGAAGTCACGGAGGTCTTGATGGTCCACCTTAAATAAGATGCAAAAATCTTCACAGTAACTTCCTTTAATTATTGTTTCTAGAGTTTGTATTATTGAATTATTGTAATTAGAGTTTTTCGTATTGATCAATGAACTTCTGTGTCTGAAAGTAATTAATCCCTTCACTGGTTATGCACAGTGTGAAGAAGTAATTGGTGCAGAACAGGCAAATAACATACAATTTATGCATCTCTGCCCCGGAATTATGCTATCTTTTGAAACTGTTTGATTGCAGATGTCAGTAGACAAAACCTCTTGGCAACATTAAATATTAATCAGTTCTTATAGTTTTATAAATATTTAGAAATGTGTTAATTTTTAAATTATGGCTTATTTCTCTTAGGAGTTGATGGAAACATTTGCAGTGGGAAATAGACTAAACTCACAAATTTATTTTGTGTGTTAGAGCAGAGAAAAAAACTGCAGTTCTGGGTAATAACTAAAGACTGAAATATGTTTTGGGTGGAAAAGGGGGGGAAATGAAGATATTTTGAAATACGCCATGCCAGTGGGTAGCCCAGGAGTTTGCCTCCCACGCAGGCTGTGCAGTGACCTCCCAAAACCGTTCAGGAAAGTCAACGTACCCCGGGCAGAAGCGTTGCTACAGCCCCCTTGCACAAGAAACTGCAATCCTGGTGGGACTGCCGATGTGCAAGCAGAATCGAAACAACATGAATAATAATCTCTGGGTCCTTGTACCTGTATCCTACCAGAACTGAAAAGAAAGCATAATATGAAAAATAGCAAGCCAGTTTGGGACCCCACCCGCACCTGTGTAAGCCCATGTCAAGGTGTTCTTGAGCCTCCCACTGACGTTGACGTTTAATTCAGTGTACAAGGTGACCCTTCTTCACCTCGATGCTGAAGATGCCTGTCTTTCTACCCTGAGGGGTGGTAGCCCGCTGGCTAAATGTCACGGTTTGTGACATTTTAGCAGATTTTAGAACTTATTTGGAAGCACGTAAACAGGAAGTTTTATGTTAAATATTGGTCTCTGGTTTAGTTTTTGGTTTTAGTGGTGGCGCTCTCTTGAAAATTTTGATTAGACCCAAGAGAAAAATAGCTTCGATGCTCACAAACCATTGGGCATTTCTCTATTTTAACATAAATTGGTGCAAACACTTTCTGACAATAGGTGAGTGTGACTGGGCTACTTAACTTCTTATTCATAAAGGTATAGTTATTTTTATGTCACATACACATAAACTTTCACAAATAAGCTCGCTACAGAGAAGCTGCCATTTAATTTGCTGCTTTAATTAAACATCTCTCAACCAGCACGCTGTTGAGCACAGATTTCCATTATTGATATCAGCAGGAGAAACATTCATTACTTTGCTACACAAAGACATTCAGATTTGTTTGAAAGGCTTATCTGCTGTGGACTTTTTACAATTTCTCCAATGAAGAACATGCAGAACCCTTTCAATTAAAAACTACTTGATCTTCAATTATTGATAGGGTAAAGAATTGGAAGGCATATGCAAATCATAGATTTTGATCAGACCCTCAATTAGTCAACAGATTTCAGGACAGTCATGTACTGAACCCAGGCTTAAAAATGATTTGCATTTCTTTGCTAGTTAGGGGAGGTAAGGCAGCAGCAGTGTTCTTCATTTTCCTTTTGAAACGTGATAGAAATAAACACAATATTAATCCCATAATAAGACATATTAGTTCTCCAAATTGGAGTTGGGGCCCTCCTCTTCTTCCCTTTGTTTCATTTGTCTCCATTTATTTTCCATGTAGAGGGATTTTAGAGGGCCCTTTAATTGGCTTTCTTCTTAATAAAGCCAGCCTGGG